AGCTGTAAAATATGAAGAAGTACAGAAGTACGAAGAAGTATTGAGAAGTATCAAGAAGTACAGGAAAGTACGAATAGGTGTGTGACAACACCACAGCTTGCGGAAGCTGAGTCAAAGAGCTGGTAGACAGCTCTAGCTTACGTGAATTGAAGCTGGAACTGTTCACCAGTTCAGCTCTTGTGAGCTAAAGCGGGTGACCAGTTCTTTTCATATGAGCTATCTCATAGCTTTCCTAGGGCTACCTGGGAAGGATGCATCGGTTCTCAAGGCCTATCCTATGAGAAGTAACCATAAGTCCTCAAGGCCTATCCTAAAGAGGTACCCATAAGTCTGAAAGGACTATGCTATGGAGGTACCTATAAGTGCTCAAAGACTTTTCTATGGGGGTACCCATAAGCATTCAAGAGCTATCCTGTGGAGTGCTCGTCAACCTTCAAGGACTATCCTATGGGGATGCTCATAAGTCCTTAAGGGCTTTTCTGTCCAGCTATCCATAAATCTTCAAGCGATACTCATGAGCGATACTCATAAATCATCAAGGGCTATCGAGCTTTGGTATCGTTAAATTTTTAAAGCCTATCTTAGGGTAGCTCTGGCTACTCTTCAAGAGCTATCTGGGTAAGGGGGTGTTGGATGCTGCTAACTGTTTAAGAGATATCTAGCGTTAATCGTCATAAGTTTTCAAGGGCTTTCAGGCGTAGACCGCAAAATTGTCGTAAGGAAGTCACTCGTATGTCATCCACTAAATGATGTCGAATGTAGTACGAAATACTGGGTTAGGAATAACCTAAGTGTCATGTACTTGAGGTTTCCTTTAAGAAGTGAGAATGGAGTGTTTTTCTTAGCTCGGCGTACTATAGTCATGTAATGGAGTAGTTTTACTTTGCAATTAGTATTATGTCGAAGAGATTGTGTTTGACAAATTTGCATCAACTCTGAGCTCTTCCGATAGTCAAGGATCGTTTCAGCATGAGGTATGTGGCAGCTCTAACTCATGTGAACGATACCTGGCTGACCAGTTTCAGCTCAGCGAACTAAACTGGAGCTGTCATACATATACTTATGGGTACCCCTATAGGATAGCCCTTGAAGATTTATGGTGATCCTCTAGAACTCCTGAGAGCTGAACTGGTGAGCAGTTCTAGTTTCCAGCAGCTGGAACTGACCGACCAGCTCCAGTTCAGCGAACCTAGCTTGAGGTGTCACACATCTAAATATGAAAGAAGTACGCTTTTTTCCCTTGATTTTTATCCACAAATAGAAGTACCAAGAAATGCCGCGAAGTACGAAGAAGTACAGGAGTATGCTTTTTCCCCTTGCATACATCTCAGAAATGCTGAGTTTTCACTCATGAAAAATTCAAATACGTTAATAGAAAAACAAGAATTAATAGAAAATTTATCTAGTGAACATATATTGTATGGCAATGTGCATTTCAGTTGCAAGTATCAGACCATATATCTCTAGGTAAGAATCTGCCAAATTGAAACAAACTAACAAGAAGCTATACCTGAGTTACTGTCCCAGAGTCATCGTCGAATTATCTAATTCCGTTAATGCTTATACTCTGGTTGCAATCGTGATTATGTGAATTGCTTTGATTCCTATTTTAGGAGGTTAGCAAAATTCGTAGCTTCGTTTTTTTCTTGCGAAAGCCTCTTCTATCTATTTATTTATATGAATTATTTTATCATATTTATACCATTCTATAGTATGTTTTTTAATAATTTCTTTGCTGAAAGTTCTAAAGATCTCGTGAAAGATATACTGTAACCAATATTGCAAAAGACGAAGCATAGTTGACATCTTCAAGTGATCTATTACAGTCTAACAAAAGGTTAACGGTAATTCTTTGGAAAGCGTACCAGAGTTTACATCAACTTCATGCGAATCGAATGAAACTTTCAGTACTTGTAGGCCTTAGATCTGTAAGCACAGATGTGGGTTTAAAAAATTTTTTAAATCCTGCGAAGAGGGAGCTAATTTGGGTCTCCCAGCAAAACGAAATCTTACCTAGCAGAGCTCCATAAGTAAGTCCCGCACCATCCCACACTATAGCTCACGCCTGTGCTCCGTCACCTGAACTTGCACGGGGCGCGTCCTCTTCCATCTAATTGTTTAGCAGTCAGATAATGAGATGAAAAAACATGCGCTCCGTGAAACATCAGGCAACAGAGAATAGGCGTGAGCTACAGCGCGGGATGGCGCGGGACTTACTTATGGAGCTCTGTTACCTAGTTCGTCTATTGTAAATGATAGAAGTCTGGAAGTTGCATCATATATACAACCTGTTGAGGTGATCATTTTTTGTAGCAGACATTTTTTTCCCGTGTTCTGTTTTTTAGAAAAATGCTAATTTTTGACGTTTTTTGGGCTCAAATATGTCTATGAAGCGTAAACTGATTTTTAACTTTCATTAGTGCTTTAGACTTATCAAACTGTCCTCTATCCAACACCGACACCCGCAGTTCTGTAGTCTGTTTCTAGACCGAATGGCAAAAGCATCTTTGGGACTTACTTTCGAATTTTTCCTAACTTTGTACCCCCTCCGACAAAATTACGGAATTCTCAAGACCTGTCTTATAGTGGAACATCATCAGCATACTTAGATCTATCATTTCTGAAAATTCCGTCTTTGGCCAATGAGTTGTACTAAAAATAGATTTTGGCGGTGCTTGTATGGGGTTTCTAGCAGGTTTGTCTTCAGCAAGACCGTCAAAATTGGTTTTCGGTAAAACTCATTGACCAAAGACAAAATTTTCAGAAATGATAGATCTAAGTATGCTGATGATGTTCCACTATAAGACAGATCTTGGTAATCCAGTAGTTTTGCCGGAGGAGGATGCAAAGTTAAGAAAAATTCGAAAGTAAATCCCAAAGATGCCTTTGCCATTCGGTCTAGGAACAGGCTACAGAACTGCGGACGCCGGTGTTGGATAGAGGACAGTTTTGATAACTCTAAAGCACTAATGACAGTTAAAAATCAGTTTACGCTTCATAGAGATATTTAAGTCCAAAAATCGTCAAAAATTAGCATTTTTCTAAAAAACAGAACACGGGAAAAAAATGTCTGCTACAAAAAATGATCACCTCAGCAGGTTGTATATATGATGCAATTTCCAGACTTCTATCATTTACAATTGAGGAACTAGGTAAGGTCTCATTTTGTTGGAGACCCCAAATTGGCTCCCTTTTCGCAAGATTTTTAAAATTTTTTAAACCTACATCTGTGCTTACAGACCTAAGGTCTATAAGTGCTGAAAGTTTCATTCGATTTGCATGAAGTTGATGTAAACTCTGGTACGCTTTTCAAAGAATTATCCTAAATATAAATCAATACAAAGAGCATTGGTATGTCAACTATACTTTAATTTGTACGATACTGATTACAATATATTTTTTAGGAAATCTTTCGAATTTTCAACAAAGAAGTTACGAAAAAAACGTGCAACGGAATGGTGTAAACTTGATAAGATAAGTAATATGGATAAATGAATAGGAAAAGATTTTTATAGATCAAAACTACGTTTTCATACCAATAAAACATATTGTATGGAGCACGTTCTTGAATGATTTATACGCGTTTTTAGTGAATACACAAAACGAGCTCCAACGCATTTGAATAATCGAATAAATATCTTTGAAGTCTAGCAAAAACATGCACGTTGATTTAAAAAAAGCGCGTTTAAATAGATATTTTCGCAACTTTCTTTGCCATGGAGAGGACTGGCATTTTTGATAACTTAATTATAGTAAAATCTCTATTAGATGAACACCATTGGGACTTCTCACAAAGTATTCATTATGAGAAGTGTTCATCTTATAGATCTTTTGCATAGATTGAACTGTTGCATGCATACAATGGTCAGTAGGACTATTTCCATGGCTGCACAATTCATATGAAGTTCACTGCAGATGAATCAAAGCACAAAACCAAATCTTTCATCTAGTGCATGACTTTTTCTGGAATCTTTATTGAAAATAATCCTCCATTGTCGTCTATTTGAGACCTTTCATGTCGATGTAGGATTGAATGCATTGCAAGCCCAGTTGTGCAACTTCTTCTGAAAGGGTCAATGTACGCTTCATCATCTCTTTTTTGTAAATAAACAAATGTGCTGTTGTGTTCCATGTGAACGGTCAATTTATCTGAGAACAGTCCGTCGCGGACTATTGATTTTTTTTTGTTCTTTTTTCTTTGATGAATAGACCGCCGACGAATTGACCTAGCATTCCTTTAGAATGCACATTGTCTTTTGTTTTTCTCTTTTTTCTTACACATACAAACATACATTGTTGAACGCATATTCATTATATAGAAGTTTTCTTTGCTGAAAGAATCAAAAGAAGTGTTCATTGTATAGAAGTCAATTTACAGTAAAAATCGATCAGGGGAACCGAGATACGTATTCAAATAAGAGGTGTTCATTAAAGGAGGTTGTACTGTATATGAACGTTACAATCATTTAGAAAAAAAATTCTATTATTTGTTTGCAGCATAGAACAAAATAATAAAGAACATGTCGACAGATTTCGTAAACGAAACTGATCAACATATAGACAAAATATCGATGAAACCTGAAGACAACATTCATCATCATCATTATCATCAGCATCATGAAAATCTCCATTATGGCAAGCCGTATAAAGCTGTGCTATTGGCAATTTTTACTTCACTAGGTGGATGGTTTTTTGGCTACGACCAAGGTGTTACTGGAGGTATAGTTGTGATGAGTTCATTTAAAAACGACTTTTGTGTTGGTGTTTATGGTGATCAAACTGAGTGCGACCGCCCGGTAAGTGCTTTACCTTCTGATTACAGACGATTTCTAGTACTTTTTACGTTACTGTATAATGTTGGGTGTTTTATTGGTGCTGTGTTCATATCTTCATTTGTGGCAGAAAAATTTGGACGTCGAGCCATTATTTTCACGGCATCATTGCTATTTTTAACAGGCACTTCAATAGTTATTTTTCCGCCAGGAGGTTCTACAAAGATAATGACTTTAATACTTTTCGGACGGGTTGTTGAAGGAATAGGTGTTGGTTGTTCTTCATTTTCTTGTCCAATATATGCTTCAGAAATAGCTCCAACAAAGCTTCGTGGAATGCTTTCTGGCTTTATGCAAATGACGGTAGTATCTGGTTTGTTTATTGCTAATATCGTAAATCTTTTATTAAAAAATCATAAATTGGGTTGGCGAATATCAAATGGACTTATTTTAATTGCTCCAATTGCAATAATGATTGGTATATTTTTCTGTCCTGAAACTCCTCGATGGTTATTCAAGAACAAAGGTCGAGAATCGGCAGAAAAAAGTTTAAAACGTATTCGTGGAACAAAAGATGTAACTGGTGAATTAGATGCTATTGCTGATGCCATGGAAGACGAAGGTAATCAAGTTTCAATCAAAGAACTTTTCACAACAAAGGTAATGCTTAAAAGACTTGGTATTGGTATGGGTATGCATATTTTACAACAAGCAACAGGTATTAATCCTATATTTACCTTTGGTGGTATTATTTACGAAAGTGTTCTTGGACAGGGCATTGTAGCTTTATTGGTTCTATCTGGTGCAAACCTATTAAGTACAATACCAGCCTTATTCTTATTTGATAGACTAGGACGTCGAAATCTTCTTATATATGGTGGCTTAGCTATGGTAGTAGGTCATCTTGTAGCAGCTACAGTATTTGTTACTGGCTGCAGTCAAGTTGATAAGATCATCAATGGTACGAACGTGACTGAAGAAGTTGTAAATTGTGAAACAAGCTCTGGAATATTAATGCTTGTCTTTACAGCTATATTTGTAGGTTGCTTTGCAATTTCTTGGGGACCAATCGCTTGGATTTATGCAGCTGAGATTTTTCCTCTTAACGTTAGAGCTAGTGCTGTTTCTTTAACGACAGGCAGCAATTGGTTTATGGGTACGATCATGTCATACATATTAGAGTTAATATCTCCATTAGGGATACATGGATTATTTTATCTTTTCAGTGGTCTATGTTTATTAGCCGTAATATTCGTATATCTTTTCTGTCCAGAAACAAAAGGAATTTTACTAGAAGACATTGAAGAAACGTTCGATAATTTTCAGATGAAGGATCGAGCAATAATTAAACTATTACGAAAACCATTCCAGAAGAACAGAAAAAGATCGGCTAAAGTGGCTATAATTGAGACAGAGTGATAATGTATTTATTTAATCTTTTTGTAACTTCATCAGAGTTTGTGAGAAATGAATTAAAAATTGCTTTGTTATTTTCATAAACAAAAATTTTTCATCTGTATAACATCAAATAAATAAAATTGATCAAATATTATCTACCATACAAACGAAGCATAATAGAAACTTTTCATAACATGGAATGATTATAATGCATATTGGATTAAGCTTCTTATCAATATCTTTTGTATCCTACATGATCAAGAAACAGTAAGATGTGTCATTTTATTATGTGTATCGATATCGAATGCAGACATTCTTGTCATAAATGATTCTTATTTATTAAAATCCTTCTGATAACCAGATCTTAATTTTTCAATAGAACAAGAAATGTTATTTATTCCTACAATGAACAGTTACTTTAGCTAACTCTATTCAAAAAAACAAAAGAAACGTAATGTCATCCGATATTTTTATGACGTTTATTTTTTTTGCATTATTGTAGAAAGATAATTCGTTTCTTAGGTTTCATTATAAAGTTTTCATCTATTGTCCAAATAAATTTTACACTTGCTTTAGGGTCAAAACATAAGAGTGAAATGAATGTGATTATTAAAGCAATGTCATCACTGGTTATGTCCTTGCTTAGGAGACGCATCAGCTGGTCTCGCGTAATTTTAATGCAAATTGATCGATAAATACAAAATGAAGAAAGTATCCAACTTTAATACCTCAAACAAGAATATTTTCGATTTTTAAAGAAGTAACAATATAGAGCTTCAATCACTTTCATAGAAGATCTTTCTTATATTAGTCTGATGTATTTTATGCGTTCATTGAAATAGGAAAAAAAATATTCAAACTACTGAACGAAATTTCATTTCATAAATACTATTACCAAAATTGGTAAAACAATACATGAAAAAAGATGCATTAATGATACATGCATGTCTAATTTTTGATCAATTAGATTCGAACATTTATCAAACATACAAAACAACGATAGAGTTTTCAAAAGTTGCTTATGTGTTCATTATATTCTCATTTAATATCAAAACTTTCAAATGTTCCATTATTTAAAAACAAGATACAATTTATTGCAATGGATCGTCAAAGTGTTGCATTGATTAGACATTTTTTTTTTGCTTACGAAAAAATCATCACTCGTTTATGTATTTGATATCTTATCAGAATATCTTCATTGTTTGTTTGATCTTTTCTTGGATAGATGCTGATCATCAGTAGTTTCTTTGAAGAAGATCTTTCAACATAAAAAAAAAACAATGTTTTTGAAAATCTAACTAACAAATTTATTCTATTTATATTTAAAAAGAAAAAAAAATACAAAGAATATATAAATAATAGAGCTCATTGAAGATCTCTAAAAAACAAATAATAAAAACAAATAGAAGTATGTACCACAAAAAAAACAACATTGAGCTCTTCTTCAAAATGTGAAAATAAATGATTAAAAACAAAATTAAAATTTAATATTTAACAAGAAGAAGAAGGACGAACATATAGTCGTTTTTTTTTCTTGTTCATACCTACTTCTATATTCATTATAATATAAAATAAATTTCTGTCAAAATTTTAATGTTCCTTGGTTATGTTGGTCAGTAGTTATCGTATGAGCAACAGATTGATTCCACCATCTGTTTATTCCGTTGAAGAAATAGATGACAAGCAAATTAAAAATCACTAATATGATAAGACACATTTGAAGAAACATTGGTGAAAAAAATGTATTATCATTAGTTGTTTTATTTAATGATAAATCTAATTCATGATTCGATCTAATCTAAAAATAAATAATTATTTTTCAATTTTTAAAATAAATAATTTCTACTAACAGATGATCTTTGTTGTATATTATTTGTCCATGTTCGTGATAATGTTTGAAGTTGTTCATCTGTTGCACGCATCTTTTCCAATAATCGATCATAACGTTGAATTGTATCATCGTGTTCTTTCTTATGTGGATGTACAATATCAGGTAAAGAAGATACGAATATCTTATCTTTTTTTTGTTCATATTGACTATGTTGTGAACTAGGTGTCAATGGTGTTAGAGAACAATTAGTTATAGAAGAACTTTCATATGAATCAATTGATAAAGGAGGAAAAGATTGACGAAAATGTTGAGGTATTTCAGATAAACGTGATGGTCGATAACGAACAGAAACAGGAATCATTGAAGAAGAAGAACTTCGAAGACATGGATTACTTGCTGAATGTGTTGAAAATAAAGATGAACTTTTATTTGATAATGATTCCATTCTAAACAAAAAATATAATTTAAATTGTGTAATTGAATTTCCTCTCAATAGTTCAAGAATTTTAAATTTATATTTACTTTTTCATCGGTGATCTAACCGCTTTATCTCTTCCTTGATGAATATATTCTCTAACAGGTGACCATGAAACATGTTGTCTTCTATTCAATTGTCCATCTGATGGTCGATTATATTGATTTGAAAAAGTATACCAAACAGTTGGTCTTGATTGTTGTGTACCTCTGTGTTCTGAAAGTGACCTTGATCGTTGTTTATTTGTATTAGGAGGAATATAAGTGTCTCCTCTATATGGTTTAACATAATATCGAAGTCGAGCTGGACGACATGTATTTGACATAAATTGATTTGAATTTGATGAATCAAATATATTAATTGTTGGTTCAAAAAGTGAACGAATAGAAGGAGGTGGTTGAGATGATGTTTCTTTGGCTGTTAATTCAGCAAGATGTTGAACTTCATTGGAATCAGAATAAGTCGAAGATATTTGTTTCTTTTTCAAAGAACCAGGAGAAGATGAACGAGAATTTGAAGATCGATCCAATTTTGGTGTTGATTTTTTTTCTATCTTTTGAGATTTTTTAAGAATAGATTTACCAGGTGAACTAAAAGAAATTTGATCGGAAAGATCACTACTATTATAATATATTTCTTGATCAATTTCATTTGACTTCAATGATGGATTTTTTTCTTGCTAAAAATATCAGATTTTTTTTTTATAAAGAATTTCATATACTATTTACTTTTAATTTAACAATATATTCATCTTCAAGACTATCTTGTTCACTTGGTGTTTTTGATGATGTCTGGTTAGAAATTTGATTATTATCTTCATCTTTCAATTGAAATTCATTATGATAAAAATGTTTAGTAATTTGATCTTCAGTTGAATTAACTTGAAAACATGGTTCAGTTTTAATAACAGTTGTTTGTGTCAATGGTGAAAATTGTTCATCATCAAATTTAACACGTATACCACGTCGATTAGAAGCAAATTCTTTTTCAAATTCTTCAAATTGTTGAATTTCTTCACGAGCTCGTCGTTCTTCGTCGAAAAAACTTGTATCCATACTCGAACTACTCATTGGAGATGTAGTCATCTTATTTAACAAATATTTCAATAACAATAATAAATAAATTGCTCTTTTAGAAATTTATTACCTCATCATCTTGTTGTTCAACAATAGGTTCGAGTATCGTTGAATCACCATAATATCGATGCTCTTCATCATCATCCATTGTTCGTCACACCACAAATGATTTATAGAAACCAAAAAAAAAATCATTTGATAAGCAGCGGAAACAGCTGGTGCATTTCATTTTTTTTCTCAATCATTGGTGAACACGTATGAATAGCTTCTTTTTTACGTTATGTTCTGTGTGATGCATTATTTAGAGGTCTCAATGTGTCACATCTGTTTTCTATTCTTTTCATTGATTGTGATCGGTTATAGAAAATAACAATGTTGCTTCAAAATAATATTTTCCATTGAAAAACACAACTCCAAGCGAAACAAAGAAGGACACAAAAAAAAAAGTTTCGATAAAAAAAATGAACATTCAACAAGATAGAATCGAGCATCTGTTAGCGTCAGTAATGATATATGTAAGTATTTGTTGTTACTAAAAAAAGAAAAGAATATCTATATGTTCGTTTGTTTTATGATTCTCTTTCTATATTTGTGTGTTTCTTTCGTTCTTCTCGATGATTGAAAATTGTTCGTTCTTTCATTTCCTTTCATCTAACTTCTCTATTATCGTTTTTGTTCTCTAAGAGTCAAACACGCATTGATATCGACCTTGATGTTTTCTATTTTTGTTACATGGTCATATTTCTATTACACATTAATATTTCTACTGCGCATTTTGTATACGTGATACTGTATCGTTATATATATATATATATATACAGATACTTTTCTTCTATTCGGTTGTTGATTATTGTTGTTAGTTTTGTATTGGGGCTAATGTTGATATTCTATTTTTCTGTTCTTTGATTGTTTGCTTATTCAAATAAAGATTGAACTCACGTTCAATAAAAATACAAAACTTACAATACATATTGATGCTCAACGAAGATTAAGATGATCCTTCTAGTCTAACTGGCTTAGGACATCTGCCCGAACAGCAGAAGATGTGGGTTCGAGTCCTATGAAGGTCATCTTTTTCTTCGTTCTGTCACATAACATCAGTGACACTGTTTGTTCTTTCGTTCTATATATTTAGAGCTAATAGTATCTATTATGGTTAACCTACTGTACAATAGAATGAAGTGCAAAGCATAATTTGATACATTTAATTAAAGAAAATTTGAAAATCATAGTTTTAAACTACTTCAAATCAATTTGTTCAGCCAAACTGAAATGCTTAGGGTGGACGTATGGGTGAAGGTTTTCTCGCCACCAAACACCCGTACACTTTTAAAATACGTTGCAATCTCGGCACGTACTAAAGTAGAGTTTTTTTTTATGTTCGAGTTTGTACTTAACCAGTTTTCAATCTAAAATCTTGTATACTTTCTTATTTGATAATGAATATTAAGCAGAATATCACG